GAAATCAGGAGATACTTTACAATGAAGGAATGAACGAACGAACGAACGAACGAACGAATGAATGAATGAAGTACATACGAAGTAGTTGAAAAACACCCCTTCCGCTCCCAAAAAAGTAGTCTGTTTTATTCAGATAAACAATTTACTTGATTTCTTTTTATAGAATAAGTAATATATGTGGTTAGTTTAAGGAGCAAGCGAGCGAGCGAGCGAGCGAGAGAGAGAGAGAGAGAGAGGAACAGAAAGTAATTACAATGATTTATAGTTATATAGTGCAATGAATAATCAATAAGCTTTATGTAGTCAGTCAGAATGAATATAGTGACTAGTACAAATGTACCTTTGATATAATGTAATTAATTACAATATGATGAAACTAGAAAGATGTATGAATAATAAACTAGCCGTAATAATACAATGCACAATCTTAAATAGAAAGACTAAATGATGGGTGTATGGATTGAAAAAGTATCTATGAAAGAATATTGGAATTCTAGTTCAAGATTAAACTAGACAGATTATAAGTTACTAAATGCCCTAGTACGTTCGCTCTCTTTCTTGAAATGCTCTTGCATAGCTACGCATATACAGACACTCACAGGGAATTGTTAATCATTGCCTTCTAGCTGAGAGGATGTTTACGAAATTAAGAGGATGAAAAGCGAATATCTAGTGCATAAACCGGATTGATGGATACAGAGCATCTATCTAAGGAGTTGGAAAACCCTCATTCTAAACCAGTGGTGTAAATGGTCTCCAGGATCCTGAAGAAACAAATCATGTGTCAACCTACTATTGGTTACCGGCTACGATGGGCCTACATCTCCTAAGTTTGTTCCACTGCCTTGTTGATTAGACCTTTGATGATAGGCTTAGGGAGTGGCCCACCAAGGAAGTCACCTGTTTCGGTTTGGGTACCCGGACAGTTTTCCAGCCGTTACTTAAATCGAATAACGAAGTGTGACAGCACTATGAAATTCTAGTGGGAATCAACAATGGAAGGCATTTGTTATGTTCGCTACTTGATTAACACAGAATACGGTATATAACTACGGCATTCGAACGTTTAGAACTCCCACAGTCTCAAAACCAGAAGACAAAAGAAAACTGGAGAAGTGTTTGTTGAGTAACCATCAAGAGGTATCGAAAACCATGGATATTTATAAATATTAGCGTTTGTTAAAACATCATTATAATTTAGCCAATCCGTAAAGAGGCAAGTTATGCTACTGTCCAATCATAGCATGCCACGTTGATATTCTAGAAAACCGTATCAAGTTCTGATTAGATAGAAACTCTTCGGCTTCTTTAAGGTCTCTGGAGGCTCCGTCGTAATTCTTGGGAGTTGTCCTACCAGTATTTACATTATTATATTGTGTTATATATCTTAAATTGTTGAATATGTTTATCTTTGTTTATTAACCAGTCAAGTCTTGTTTTAACCGACAATATCATAAAAATTATTTAGATACTGTAATGTCTATTTTACCCATCTCTAATTGAATATATCAACTTCTAATGGTCAAGTTCTAATTGTTATTTAGGACTGCAATTGACCAATCTCATGTTGACATATGTGCATCCTGTGCGGATTGCCTCGATATAGCATTAATTCACAAGCATTATAAGCAAAGATAGATAGTGGCTAGCAGTGGACGAAACGCGCGTCCTGGATCCCTTCTGCTAGCCACTATCCGTCTTTGCTTAAAAAGCTTCTAATGGTCAGTTTCATGATGAAATACCACTCATTAATAATAAATGATCATAATATTTTAATGGATTATTTCCTAGGAATTAAAGGAGTAAATTTCTATTACAGTAAACTTCTGTGACATTAAACCCGGCTAATTATCACTTAATTTATTCGCCAATCGGAATACTACTTATACAACCTTAGCACTGTGCCAAACCAATGACGTTCGACCGGTATGAGTAGCCTAACAATCTCCACAATCCCAGACTGATAATTACTATGCGCTCACTAGTGGCTAGCTTTGTGAAGGACTTCTTGAAGTTCTAGTAATCAGTAGAGTTAATCCGTGTCAGGTAGAGACAGGTATTTGCCTCAGACAGTGGAAGATGTTCACACAAATTTGTGGATTGGTTGATGTCAGGCATTAACATCGTTAGATGCCGGTCGGTTCAGTGGTCTAGAGGTTAAGCGTTCGCGCGCGAGACTGAAGGTTCTGAGTTCGAATCTCGCACAGTGGGATCGTGGATGCACACTACTGAGGAGTCCCATACTGAGACAAATCAGCCGTCCAATATTTCCAGATTTTCCATGGTGATCTAACATTGACCGATCCATGATCTCAATCAAAAACTTAACAATCTCCACAATCTCACACTGATACTTCTTAATTGACAATCAAATAAGAAGGCAAACAGCGCCAAGGTTAAACTAATTCAGTGTGATGAATATTCTCAGACCAATCGAAATAAAAGTACCACCGCTACTCTTACATCATGCCCTGGATGAACAAGTGAAGTATCAATGAAAACTAAAAAGTACAGGATAGAATGTTCGTGGGTATATGATGCCCTTACACGGTCCGTACCCACGACACCAGTAGAGTGTGTGAATCGCTCGATATTAAGAACTGATTGCAGACCTCGCAGTTAGGTCTGAAACTTCTTGGTTTAATTTCTGTTGGGATGATGCATAGTCACTGCTTAGGACTTGGATACCAGGATAAAACAGCTGCTCAGTGCTCCATGGTTTTATTGATACCCTAACTGAGATCAGTCCGTGATGAATATTACTTAGTAATTTTTTGTGTGTTAAGAACATTATTCTATAACCACATCTTGTTTCATTTGTACTTTTAATTCACTACAAAATGTTCTTTTCAATTATTCAGTTGACATTAGATGATTGGATGTAGTCACATGCAAATCGAATGGATCTAGGTCAGACAATCATCAAAAAGGTATACTTTTAGTCTTGAAGGAAGTAATGCTTTCTGTAAATTCAAACCTACACCATTCACTGTCACAGATAAAGTCATTACTACTGAATATAGATAGTTCAGTTTAGTGTTGTGGTTAGTAAATTATTGAACAGCTGGCATTCACAAAAACTGATATATACTTGTTTTTTTCTTCTAACCGAAATGAAAATTCGTAGTGAACTATTTCCTACAATTCACTGAAACAAACAATAATGAAAATGAACTCATCAGTACCTAACTCAGGGTTGAATTCTTAACGTTTTTTTTTGAAATGCAAAGATGGATGGTGGCTAACAGTGGAATTCAGGATGCGCGTTTCATCCTATTTGAGACTCGTCAGCTGGATGTACCTGCATCTCAGAGTTGATGATCACTCTGGGGCTCGAAATCAGCACTGCTCGTTTCGAATGCCAACGCCTTACCATCTTAGCTACTGATTCCTGTTAGCCACATACTTGTGCAATGGAGTGAAGTTTAAATTCACTTGGTATTGTTAACTTGAATCTTCTCGTTGATGTTTAGGACTGCAAATGATCAGTCTCTTATTGACATATGTGCGTATTGTGCGTATTGCATCGATATTCCCTTAATTCACAAGCATTATAAACAAAGATGACTATCAGAACTCAGTAGCTAAGTTTGAAACGAACAGAGCCCCAGAGTGATCATTAACCCTGAGATGCAGGTACATCCATCTGACGAGTCCCAAATAAGTTGAAACGTGAGTCCTGAATTTTACTGCTAACCACTATCCATCTTTGCTTATAATGCTTATGAATTAAAGCTAACTGAAGCAATGCATACGGTATGCATATATGCCAATAAGAGACTGATCAATTGCAGTACTAAACATCAATAGGAAGATTCAAACAAGCAATACCAAGTGAATTTAATTCTTTTGAGATGTTATAACCTAGAGGACGAGTGGTGGGGTAGGGTGGGGTGGGGTGAAGTTAACCACATCTATAGTGAAACAATCATCATTGTTACCAATTAATGTCAATCACTCGAACTAACTGAAATTGGACAGATAGTTACCAAGACGACAATTTTTGGTGTTTCAAAGAATTCTACATTAGAGTTATACAACTTTTTCTTATTTTTCAAAATGTCTCGTATCTTTAAAGTTACACGATAAAGGAAATCAATTTGTGTAAATCCCTTTTCATTTTCATTTAAAAAAAGGGAACAGAAAACTAAATTCAACAAATGACTAGTTTTCACACACAAATATCTAACTATCCCTTCACTATAATTTCACAGTCCCTTTTCTCTTTTCTTTTTTTCTTTTTTTGCATAATCAATATGAATATACAGACACACCTACACACCTACACACCTACACACACACACAAACACACTAAGGAATTCATTCAACTTCATGTTGTTTCACTAGTTTCAAATTAAAGTGCCAACATTCATTGAAGAATAATTCACTTGATATTATTGTCTTTTACTTGAATCTTCCCATTAATGTTTTAGGACTGAAATTGATCAGTCTCTTATTGGCATATATGCATACTGTGCGTATTGCCTTGATATTGCCTTAATTTATAAGCATTCTAAACACAGATGGATAGTGGTTAGCAGTGAAGAATATTCAACATGACATACTGTTATATTCAATTGAACATTTCGATTTCATACAATAATGAAAAGGAAAAAGAAGAAGAAGAAGAAGAAGAAGAAGAAGAAGTTAAAATAGTATCCAACGTACACATTTTATTGATTCATCTTTTGTATGTACGTGCATATGTGCGTGTGTGCGTGTGTGTGCGTGTGTGCGTGTATGTGGGAATTAAAGGTATGTGTACGTACATGCAAGTATTAATTTTAGGGGAAGATATGCGTAGGTGGTAACTATTACTTTTCATTCAATTGGTTTCTATCTATATCCTTTTTCATTATGGATAATCTTTATAAATACTTGAATATATATATATATATATATATATATATATATATATATATATATATATATTCGATTCATCTTCAAAGTTTCACAGTTCATTTAAACACAGTTACAACAACACCACGAACAACAACAGAATGACAACTGATTTACCTGAAGTAACTGGTAGTCCAATATGGTTACGTAAAATGCGTACATTATTTCGTCGTCTTGATTCATGTGGACATGGTTATTTAATGATTGATGATTTATTAGATATTGGTACAACAATATTTAATATTTATCCTAAAATGTTATCATATAAATATGATGAATTAGTGAAAACATTAGTTTATTTATGGTATCAAGTATTATGTACTCATGTATCTAGGCAATTAGCAACTACAATGAATATTAATGAAAATACATTTATTGATAATTTATTAAAAGCATTTCATAATGATTTTTATCAATATTTTAATGAAAAATTTATTATACCATTATTTGTTGCTATGGATCAAGATGATGATAATTATATAACAAGTACAGAATTTCAAACATTAATGATTGCATGGAAATCAATACCAAAAGATTGTGAATTATTATTTCGTTACTATAGTGATAAAAATAATAAATTAAATAAAGAAAATTTTCAAAAAATTTTTATTGATTATTTTATGTCAGATAATATAAATAGTAATATTATAAAATTATGGGGACCATTAATTAATTATAAACGTGCTGAAGATTATGGTCCAATTGATTGTGGTCCTGTATGGGAAGGTAAAATACGTACTATGTATAGACGTTTAGATATTAATGAAACAATGAAATTAAAATGTCATGATTTATTACAAATTGGACAATTTTTAATACAACGTGCACATTTAGATAGACGACGTGCTGATGCTGTAATGCGGGCTATGTTAAATATATGGGTGAAATTTTTGGCTATAGATAAAAATGGTAAGTAGATATTGATTTGTTGTTGTTGTTGTTGTGTGTTTTTAAATTTGATCTCTGATCAATATGTTATATTATTGATTGAACAATCGTCCTAGATACAAATGAACTAACGGATTTGGATAATATGGGTTCGATTATACCAGTTGGTTGGTAACCATATAAAGTTTAAAAACATTGGTTCTTGTCTAATCACGTTGGGTTCGGTCAGTACTTGCCCCCTTCAAATACCCTAGTACGACTGAGAGTGAAGAGAGTCAGCTCTCCTTCTTGAAATACTCTCATATGTCTACGCATATACAGGAAGTGATAAAGAAATCCTACTCACTACCTTCTTGTGGAACTCCGCCTGGAGTCCCTCTGTGGGCTACTGCCAGTCCTAAACCCGGATAAAGGAGGAGGGTTGGGGATGGGGTTAGCGACCCCATCCCGTAGAAAACAACTTTGTTAAAAAAACTCTGCCCTGGGAGTTAGAAGGTCTTCATTTAGAAGAACTATGACGCCTCATGATGAAAACCGAGTTCCTTCGGAAGTTACGAGGTCGATGCCCCTTCTGACAACCAGAGCAACCATTTATTTAGGTACATGGAATACTCGTACAATGTGGGAGACCCAGAGAGTGTTCCAAATTGCTGCAGAAATGAGGAGATACAGTCTTCTTGTGGCCAGATGGTTGTTTATGAACTCTGACCCCCTTTGATCTTTATAATATCTTATCAGTAAATTATTTGTTCTTAAAAGATTCTTACAAAACCATGCATACTGACTCCATGATAAAGCAAGTTAAGAATAGATATAATGTCACATATTTTAGGCAATCAAATAATGGACAGTTAACTTTCTTATATTAAGTCTAATATTCTAATAGTATCGAAAAGTGCATGAATACCGATTATGTACCTGAACACAATAATTCCCCTAGTTACTAAAATCTTTTTTTCAAAAAAAACCCCACATAACAATGTACAAATACGTTCGTACACTCACCACACATACACATACACACACACACGAACTGTTTATAACATATACGTAATATGATTCTAAAGATCACTTTATGTCACATAAATTATATTGACCAATTGAATACGAGGAAAATGGGATCAAAATTATTAGGTCACATCTAATAATGAACAAAACGTTTTTTTTCTTGCTTTCTGATCGATTGTACTGTCTATCACATTCTTTTCTAAAGAGAATGTCAATCAAAGTTTACATGAATTATGTTATAAACCATTTATGTATTGGATTTGACAAAAATAATGGTTTGGTGTAATTTATAATTTCCGATAGGTCCTGGGTCCGAAACCCGCGAGGGAGGATCATAGATAGGCACTGCTGAGGAGACTCATAGTGGGATGAAATTACTATATTATCAACAAAATCCCTCTTTGATTTCCGTCTTTGTTAACATATATGATTAGATTTCAATCTATGATTGTTGGTAATATGAGCTAAATGTGAGTGTGGTCTTATTTGAGATTGTTATATGAATGCATTTGCACCCGATTGTTAAAACTTGAATCTAGTAGCTAGCGATTTCTAGCATGGTTCTTTTTTACAGAGCAGGATTGCTAACCCAATGCTCAGCCCTCTTTTTTTCATTCAGGCTTTGGATCGGCAGTCATCTTAGAAAGACTCGAGGCATAATAGTACAAAAACGGTTTATTTAGATCATAAATCAATCTAAGTTAGATGTCCATTGAAAATCAAAAAGCACTGGAAGACTATTTCATCTTGTATGAGACTTTTCAGCATTGGGCATCAAAGAAATCGAATTCACGGCCTTCGATCTTGTGTGTGAACACTTAACTTCCCGATCATTGAACCTAAATCCATTAACATGCAAGTCTGATTTCAATCAGTTGACGGTATTGTGTGATTACCTCTCATTGTCTTTAATGTATAAATGTGTCATACCTGACATAGTTGATTTTCATTAGTCAAACATTCTCATAAGAACTGTTTGAATTTCCTCTGGAAACTAATCACCAGTAAACACATGATGATTATCAGTAATGTGGGTTATGGAATTTTATATTAAAAAAGACATTTGGTTAAAATGTATATTTTGGTTGAGATAATCACACGTACTATTGAGTGTATCATTGAAAGTTTAAAGGACTCTGAATCTTTCTAGTCTATATGACAATGAAACTATACTACTCAAACGAACATGCTTGTACTTAAAACAAGTACACTGAAATATGTATTTCTATACATGTCAGTTCTATTGTACTTACTTACGCCTGTTACTTCTAATGGAGCATAGGCCGCCGACCAGCATTCTCCAACCCACTCTGTCCTGTGGCGGTGATTTGCCAATGGAATTAACACTTGATTATTAGGCTTAACGCTTGAGTTTCATATAAAACTATGATGTTACATACTAAATCCATATATTCATTTTCGAATACAATGCCTGTTTGTGCATATGATTGTCTAATCCATTGAACATAAAGATGAAGACAAAACTTACCGATGCATTAATCATTATGCTATCTATCTGATTTCCTAACTTCTTTATTTGAACATAAATATTAGTACAGAAGGGCAACGAATACATATGTGCAACACAAGTCACTTGATTTGTGTGCGGGCTGTGATACTGCCCGGGTGCCCTGACCGAAGCAGGTGGTTTTCTTAGGAGGCCACAGCTTGAGCCTTCGATCTAAAGGTTTGATCCACAACGCAGTGGAGTAAAGTTAGGAGATGCAGTCCCATAGTAGACGGTGACCAACAATAAGTTCATACATCATTTTTTTATTTCAGGATACTGGAACCCATGTGCACCACTGGTTTGAAACAGGGTTTTCCAACTCTCCTATGTGGATCCTCGGTATCCACCAACCCGTTTAAAGCACCGGACATTAGATTTTCGTTCTCTCAATTTCCTAAACAACAGTAATGCCTCGAGAAGGCAATGAGTAGGACTTCCCTAGCAGTAGCTCTATACGTGTGACCATGTGGGAGTATTTCGAGAGAGAGAGAGCTGACTCTCTCCACCCTCGGCCGTATCAGGGCATTTTGGTGGCAACTTATTTGGAACAGTTAATAACTCATAATGCTTAAAACACTTTTAAAACTTCAAATATGAATATTCCACCTCCACCCAAATCTAATTTATTCAATGTTTATTGGAACGTTTCTATACATTTCAAGCATTGGCCTGTTTATATCTACATAGATTGACGATATTACGATGGGGAATGTAAGCGTTGTTGCTATACGTTAGACCACAGAATATAAGAAAATAAAGATTGATCACCGACTGTGCAGAAACAATTTTTAGCAAACCCAACCCTGAATGAACTAAAAGATGATATTGGTCATCGCTTAGTGACTTGTCGATTGAAAATACAGCTCAGTCTCATAAGAGATCACTTGAGGCTTGAATAATTCGATGGTAAAGTCTGAGAGTGTGAGGAAGACTGACATCGGAGAACCAGTTTCTTCAAGATTATAAGTACACATTGCTGATGTGTCTCAAATAACACGAAACGTAGGTTCAGGACCAACTACCTCCAATCATCTAAATTATACAACATATTCCAATGAGTATTGAGAAGTTTAGACAATTGGTCAAATCGCCAATGGATCGATAGCATTCGATTCATAGTAAAAGAGCTAGACATAGGAAAATGATTGAATGATTTATGTTGTTTAGTTCAACAACCGAATAGATTATCCAACAAGGTTGTTCTGATCATAGATCAGAATCGATAAAAATTTTAATAATGAAACATTTCCTACATCATCGATCAGGGATGTGAATTATTGATCACTACTTTAACTATACTTTCTATCAACAATGATGGCGGTGATATAAAGTTTAGATGACCATTAATTATGAAATTCCAGATATATCCAATTCCAATTATTCTAACATGAATTATAATTTACAAATTAGATCTCTTTTATTATTCTCTTTCAACTAGGTTAAAAGCAATTCATATTGTGATGTATGCTACTGATATCGATAGATATAAGTAGTATGTGTGATCATCAATCGAAAATGAAAGGCCTGGCAACAAAAGGTTAAGAAGATCAATGAAAAGAGAATAAGAACAGAGAATGATTAGTATGAAAACGAAGGAACAATAAAGTCTGAGACAATTGATTGACATATTGTAAATGAAGTCATTCACTACATGGTTCTCAGATTTTACTAATGGATTCTGTAATTTTGGATTCAAATATATTCGATTGTCTCGATTGGTATTCTCATTCACTAAAAAAATGAACATAGTAGATAAAGTTGAAATCCCAGATACAAATTTTATACCCCCATCCCCCTCGTGGAATAACCAAATAATTTTAGAACTGACCATAGAAACAATCGATAAATACACCATTTGTTTGATCTATTCAATCAAATACATGTTTATGTGGGACACACATACATAGGGAGGAGTAATTGAACAATCAAATCAAAGGTAATGATATATGTGAATAGATGGCTTCAAAACTAATTAGTGTCAAATGATCCGATCAACATGGGATGTAGAATACCATGTTCATCGATAGTGAAATATATAATTGAAACGGGGCATAAAATTGACATTAATACTGTTAAGTTTGTCTTACACTGTTCCTACTCGCTCCCTTTTCACTCCTTCGTATATTGTTTTATACTACTTAATTATATTCAGTAAGCAGTTGTATTCCTAACAATCTCCACACTTATGTTGTAACGCAAGTTGTAGTGTAATATTCTGAAATGTTCACATATACTTATAACGTTGATTATATTTATCATTATAACCACTGTATCTTAATCGCTGTAGCGGTTATCCACAGTTTTGTGCATTTGTTTAAACGCAACAGTTTCCATAATGTTTTGCTTTTGGTTCGGGTTTCGATTGTTCGTAAACTGTTATCAAATTTAGACACAGCTATCAGCTGTCCTTTGTACTATCATATGTTGTAATTATTCTTTATGTTACTGTTACAGGAAGCGTTTTTGTTTTATACTTGAAGGACGCGTTTAAACGCCTCAGACACCTCACAAGTTGAGGTTTGTAACTAAATTTTGTGTATTATTTAATAAAGAACCGCTATTGTGGACAAATCGTTGTTTTTGGAAACTTCGGTTTTGCGCGTATCTCAATCGTGTGACTTGGACGCTTCGATAGATCTAACAAATACAGTTTTAAAAATGCTGTATAGAAATTGTTAAGGATGAATTCTCAGGTATATTGAAGCCTTGGCTATTCATAAATTCAAAGTTCTCCTTGAATTTATCCTGGTAATCCTTAAATCATTTAATGGCTTATGGTAATGTGACAGATTCTTATTCTTTCTATATGATGTAAAAAAATGTCTCTCTCTCCTTTGTTACCTTGTTTACTTTAACCTTCGTTTTAATTGATCTTCATTAATCTTCATATAAAATGTCTTGAATTGTATATGTATGACTAGATTGTTTGAAATATATAGCGCAAATACATGACATTTTTCAAATGAAATGCATTTTCACTGATTGAAATCGTAAGTCAACTGAAGCCAGACCACCATGGAAAATCTGGAAGCACTGGACGACCGTTTCGTCCTAGATGGTCAAGCGCCTCGCGTGAGACTGATAGGTCTTGGGTTCGAATCTCGCGGGGTGCGGGATCGTGGATGTCCACTGCTGTGGAGTCCCATACCAGGACGAAACGGCCATCCAGTGCTTCCAGGTTTTCCATGGTGGTCTAGCTTCAATTGACTCATGATTTCGATCAGTGAAAATTTCTAAAATCTCCATAAAACCCCTTCTGAGAACTACATTTTTTCATATTGCTCTATCGAAATTTATCAAAGGGACTAATTACTTTAAAATGATAAGATATATACATAAACATATTAGAATCAAATTGAAATAGTTCCTGTTTAATAGTTGAATTCATGAGTTAATTGAAGGTAGACCACTATGGGAAATCTGGAAGCACTGAAACAGTTACTGTATTTAAATTCACTAGGTGTTGGGCTTACTTGTGTTTTCCTATTGATATTTAGGATCGCAATTGATCAGTCTCTTATTGGCATATGTGAGGATTGCCTCGATATTGACTTAATTCACAAGCATTATAGGTAAAGATAGAATAGTGGCTAGCAGTGGAATCCAAGATGCGCATTTTGTCTATCCAGCTGACAAGTCCCAAATAGGACGAAACGCGCATCAAACTGGATTCCACTGCTAGCCACTATTTTATTTTATTTTAACACATAGATATTGGTACAAGGGGGCACCAAATACATATGCGCCACACAAATCTCATTCGATATGTGTGAGGGCTGTGATACTAACAGGGTGCCCAAACTGAAAAAAGTGGTCTTCTTAGGGGGCCACACCTGGAGCCTTCGACCTAAAGGTACAATCCACAAGGCAGTGGAGCATCGTAAGGAGATGCAGTCCCATAGTAGCCGGTGACCAACGATTGGTTCATACGCCATTTGTTCCTTCAGGATTCTGGAGCCTATGTGCACTAATGGTTTGGAACCAGGGTTTTCAACTCCCCTAAATGGACTCTCCATGTACACCAACCCGGTTAAAGCGCCGGACATTCGCTTTTCGTCCTCTCCATTTCGTAAACAACACCACCGCCACGAGAAGGCAATGAGTAGGACTTCCCTGGCAGATGCTATATACGCTTGGCCATATGAAAGCATTTCGAGAGGGAGAGCGGACTCTCATCACTCTCGGCCGTACCAGGGTATTTGGGGGCTGCCACTATCTATCTTTGCTTACAGTCACAATATTTGTCTATTATTGATAAATCATAAATCTTAATCATAGAATATCATCTTTATATTATTAAAATTAGTTACCTAATAGTATAAGTTAAGTTTAAATACAGATTTTCTATACTGTAAATAAATGAAAACGTTCTAGGGAAATATTGGAATATATTAACTTGATCAAAGATGATGATGTGCTTACTACACTCGAACTTGTTTCTATAATAAGCACTCAATCCATTGATCAATCAATCACTCATCCATTCACTTACTCAGACCCATTCATACATGAAATAAATGATTAATGAAATAGTAATACATAATGTAACAGTTTATTGTAATTCAGAATCAGTTACTTCTTCTGTTTGATCATCATCATCATCATGATCACGATCAGTAATATCTGTCAATAAAAAGAAAAAAAACACACATGAACATAGTGAGATTGTACTTTCATCATATGAGTTATATAAAACTACCAACTAATATTACGTTTGAGTTCTACCATCTGATCCAGTTATCATGGACACTTTCTATACATATATTAAATTTATCATGTAAACTAGAAGACTGAATATATAGGTTGAAATGTTGAATAAGTGTGAAAGAGACTTCCTTTAATAACATGTTTTGTTGACAGTATGTGAAAGAAAATACGTGATATAAGCAATGATAGATAGTGGCTAACATTGGAATCCAGAATGCACGTTTCGTCCTCTAGGTGGATCCTCTGTATCCACCAACCCGGGTAAAGCACCAGATATTCACTATTCGTCCTCTCAATTATGTAAACAACACCTCTGTATCGAGAAGGCAGTGAGTAGGACCTTCCTGGCAGTGGTTGTATGCATGTGGCCGTGTTAGAGCATTTCGAGAGAGGGAGAGAGAGCGGCTCTCCCCACTCTCGGCCGTACCAGGGCATTTGTCCAGAAAGACAATTACGTTTCAATATTAAACCATTCACCCTGTAATATATGTATATAAATACTAAGTCAAAGATTCGGCATACTTCAAGTGAAACTCACTAGTTCATCAACATATTTGAAATTTATTATACAAATTACCTCAGTATCAAATCATTTTCTTATATTAATGACTTGTTAAAAGTCATTTGAAAAATCAGTAACTGAGGGAAATTTACCATAGTAACTAAACAATCAAAATTAGTAAACACATCATTAATAGAAATTGAACACTGACTGACTGATTGATTGATTAACTCCTCACTCACTCACTCACTCACTCACTCACTCACTCACTCACTCACTCACTCACTCACTCACTCACTCACTCACTCACTCACTCACTCACTCACTCACTCACTCACTCACTCACTCACTCACTCACTCACTCACTCACTCACTCACTCACTCACTCACTCACTCACTCACTCACTCACTCACTCACTCACTCACTCACTCACTCACTCACTCACTCACTCACTCACTCACTCACTCACTCACTCACTCACTCACTCACTCACTCACTCACTCACTCACTCACTCACTCACTCACTCACTCACTCACTCACTCACTCACTCACTCACTCACTCACTCACTCACTCACTCACTCACTCACTCACTCACTCACTCACTCACTCACTCACTCACTCACTCACTCACTCACTCACTCACTCACTCACTCACTCACTCACTCACTCACTCACTCACTCACTCACCTCACTCACTCACTCACTCACTCACTCACTCACTCACTCACTCACTCACTCACTCACTCACTCACTCACTCACTCACTCACTCACTCACTCACTCACTCACTCACTCACTCACGCACTCACTCACTCACTCACTCACTCACTCACTCACTCACTCACTCACTCACTCACTCACTCACTCACTCACTCACTCACTCACTCACTCACTCACGCACTCACTCACTCACTCATTCACTCACTCACTCACTCACTCACGCATACTCATTCACTCACCTTCTAATGGTGTTTCATTAATATCTTGTTTACTTTGTGATTCAAAAGTGATTTCATCATCAGTTTCATTATCAAATTTTAATGTACTTCGTTCACCGTCATCATCATCATCTACTTCTCCTTGGTTTATTGATTCTTTGACATAATTCTCTGAATCACTTTGCAATTGATTTCTATCCTGAACCTCTATATTATTATTATTATTATTATTATTATTATTATTATTATTATTATTATTATTATTATTATTAGCTTCAATTTCATTAATGTTATTCATATCTATATCGTTATTAATCATTTTGTCATCTGAGTGATGTTCATTATTCTTCGATTCTGTAGTGAGATTTGAAGTTTCTTCCTCATTTTTAGTTTCTAATGAAGTTTTGTTTTCTTCTAATTGACTCAAATTGATTATTTCATTGTTTTCCATAGATTCCTTATTAAGAAAATTTGAAATATTTAGGGAAAAAATACATAAGAATTATTTTATAAATCCATTTTTACCAGTATAGGGTTGTGGAGATTATTAAGTTTTTTTGATCAAGATCATGAACCGATTGATATAAGATCACCATTGGAAACCTGGAAGCACTAGACGGCCGTTTCGTCCTAGTATGAGACTCCTTAGCAGTGCGTATTCACGATCCCGCTCACGGGATTCAAACCTGGGACCTTCGGTCTCGCACGCGAACAATTAATCTATGGATCACTGAGCCGGCTTGCATCCAATGGTAAAAATAGTTAAATTCAACCAATCCACGAAATTGTGCGACCATCTTCCATTGTACTGAGGTAGATACCTGTCTTTATCCGACACGGATTAATTTCACTGTTCACGGCTTCTCACTAGAACTCCGAGAATTCCCTCACGAATCTAGTCACTAGTGAGCACACAGTAATTATCTGTGTGGGGTTGTGGAAATTATTAAATTTTTTTGATTGAGATCATGAACCGATTGATGTTAGATTATCATTGAAAACCTGAAAGCACTGGACGGATTTATTATCAAGCTGTACATTTGTTTGTTTTGGCTGTTTTAATCTTCTCAATAATATTTGGGTTTGTACTTGATCAGTCTCTCTTTGGCATATGTGTATCCTATGCAGATTACCTAGATACTACCAGTAATTCACAAGCATTATAAAGAGACTGATCAATTTCAGTCATGAACATCAATGAAAAGATTGAACACAACTAATACAGATGAATTAAACTTCATCCTGTTGCAAAAGCTACTAGATGTCTAGACACAGTAACTACGAGGATAATACGTTGGTGTTTGGAGTGAACGAGTTACCATGAACTCTGGGATGCAAGTACATCTGGCTGACAAATCTCACGTAACATTATTACAAAAAGAAAAAACTATCAAGATGAATAGCAAGAATGATCGAATTGTCGAACATTGACAGAAGCTAGCGATGCAAAATATTAAGTGTTAATTCAGTCAGCAGAAGGTCAGGCGTTTGTCACATGGCATGTACTGTTTAGAAGGCGAAGAAACGATTTACTGTTTCCTAAGATTGCAATGGTTATCTAACAAAGGTTAGTTTGTGATGTGGAATCATATGTCTAACGCGGTTTCTGAAAATAACTTCTAATCAGATACATACTACACGATTGAGAATTTGTCCTTTGCTCAACGTTCTCTCATACTTCTCAAGTGAAATCACTGAATCTGTTCCACTTTACGTCACAGTGACATTTATATTTAGTGACTTCATTGTAGGGGTTTGATAAGTTATTAAAAAATGTGAACTTTTAATTAATTTCAGAATGAATATCAACACAAGGATGTAAATGCATTCATGTGACAAGCCACTTGTTCAGCTTTAGTTAGTATATTTCATGCGTTAGGAATATGTAATGTGTAAATAGTCAGCTATAAGTAACGTAAAATCTGTCGGATATGTTCATCAGTTCAAGTCCCTACACCGTTCTAAAATGCTAGAAGTAATAACTGTATTGCTTGTATTAGAAAGCATTAGGTATTAGGAATATGACCAGGGAAGAAAGAGTGAGTGAATGGGTCAAAACGTAAATGATTATTGTAAAGCTCAAGATTTAAAGGAAATTTAATATTGAATGAGTCTGTACGATTAATACCAATTTTGAGTTATATCAATCAACATTTCAAGCTATTGGTCATTATCAACTTGTGAAACACGACCAGATAGTTCATACTTACCTACACGGTTCAGTTCAATAGTCAGTTACTTCATGGATTGACGCCAAGGTTTTGGTTTAGCCCACTATCTTTCTTCCAACTTACCCCTACTTCGATAACCATCGCACGTCAAGATAACCGATGGTTATGATATTTGTAATACATGCCTCAGGCACCTCAGTTGATGAAGATTCATAACCTCATCAGTTGATATGCCATTTCCGCATAGTACTCTATCTCTAAACTCAGCACATATATGAGCAATGCGTCAAAGTCGTCTATGATCAGATGCTAATAATCAACAAATGACCTCTTTTTTTAACGTCTAAATCTTACAAACATAGAATAGAACTTTGTGAACATATTATAATATAAGCAGAAAATGGATTGGTAATGAATCAGTATGGAGGGTTTGTGGAGATTGTGGAGTTTTGTTAGTTTAAATCATGAAATAGTCTTAACTAGACCCCCACTGAAGACCTGTAGGTATTGGAGGGCTGTTTTGTCTCAGTGTGAGACTCCTCATCAGCGAACAATCACAAACCCACCATAAAGTATTGAACATAGGACTTTCGGTCTTGTTTGAGAACGTCTAATGTTGACCTGATATTCGATGGTGTTAATGTCTAACTTTAATCATTTCGTGATGTTTCCCAACCCTCCTTTACTGTTCGAAGTTGGTAACGGTATTTCACGATGCAGGCATTCGTAAGTAAAATGAAAGGCCCTTGATTAAATTTTTTGATCCCGGAGTCGTAGATGTGCAATACTGAAGATTTGCGTACTAAAACGAAATGGATGTCTAGTGCTTCCGTGTTTCTAGTGATGGCTTAAAGTGTTCTGACATATAATTTTCAAATTATATACTTTTTTCGGACAATGACAAATTGTCAAACCTATCTATGTTTGCAAACGTTTACATTTGATTACTGAATTTCATAGAACTGGTTATATTTTGTCTAGAAATAAAACATTCAAAGCAATAAGAGTTAGTCAATCAATGTGACACCTAGTATTAATATCTATGGGGTTTAAGCTAGCAAACCAAATTAACCCATCGAAGTGAAACTGACAAGGGTTTACAAAAAACAGTAGTAGCAGTATCAATTAGTAGTATGAAAGCTTAAACATGAGAATATGCTTCAAAGTGTGGGTGTAAAATGAGGGAATAACAAATAATAAAACTTAATTTAAACTTGAAATCAACGTGAGTAAGATTGGATACATGAGACAATTTTGAAGAGAATAAGAAACTCTATACGAACGGAAACTTATATGTCAATTCTCAACCATGTAATAGCCGTGACCAATGGAGTTCAACCAGGTCTGTTGTGAAACAGTAAATCATGGGAGACAATGGTGGACGGTGGCGCAATTTCGTGGATTGGTTGAATTTAGAATCAACACCGTTGGGTGCCGGCCGGCTCAATGGTCTAGTGGTTAGGCGCTCGCGCGCAAGACTGATAGGTCCTAGGTTCGAATCTCGCGAGGCGGGATCGTGGATGCGCACTGCTGAGGAGTCTCACAGTAGGAAGAAACGGCTGTCCAGTGCTTCCAGGTTTCCATGGCAGTCTAGCTTCGATTGACTCATAAATTCAACTATTAAATTAATAACATTTTGATATATTCAGATTGTAGCTAGCAATAAAATCCAGGACAAGTATTTCTTCCTATTTAGGATTACCACTAAGATTGTTATTTATATAGACTGTCCAAAAACGTACTTTTATTTCAATATCTCTTATTCTTATATAATTTTTTAAACAGCGACCCAAATAATCGATTGGATCCACAGGCCGTTTAATTAGGACTTCAGCTATATACTGCCGTAAAACTGATCCAACACATTCAATCAAATATGAAGTTTCTGGTCCTCGTAGTTCTCCACTTCCACTACTAAAACTAAAATAAAAACAAACCCAAGACTGTAGTTCACATTATGGAGTCAGTCCAGATAAACAACTATTAGAAATCAATGAGTAATAGATAGTTTTTTCTTATCCTGCTTTATGACTCCACAGAAATGTGAACGCAAAAAGCCTCAACAAGGATTTAAGGAAGTGAAAAATGTACTCAAACCTTTTATGTTAGGAACGATAGTTTCCAGGGAAGTAAACCGTTCTTATAAGCATACAAACTATAATAAATATTTGATACATTAGGAGATATATACTTTGTGTTTATTATTGGTTTATCAGGAATACTAATCTATTTCACTTATTCATTTTACTAGTGACAATATCAATAGTACATATTTTAAAGAAATTCTTTAGTTTCCTTTAAGTCATCATCATCATCATCATCAATCATCATGATTAGATGTGAAGTATTTGGATCCTTTGTACTTGTTGAATGCTTGATTTCGAATTCCAAATACAGTACATTCGTTTGTGCTTATCTAGTACTTCTTGATCCAATTGCGTTATTTCTGGGATTCTTAGTTCTTACTAAAATCAAATACTCCTAATCATCACCATAAGTCAAAGCGTATCTGATTGCTTATCAACAATAATAATCGGTCGACTGTGACAAATTCGTAATTTTCAGTATCAAAGATTAGGACAATCTACTAATATTCAATAATAGAGGCTACCTCTTATACATTTTAAACATATTTTTGTGACAAAAACACATAAATTATTTTCAGAGTACAATGTAATTCGAGGAAGGACTTTCCCAATTCATTAAGAAGTTAGTCTTTTTTGGACTAAAAGGCGGAAAATAAAAATGAATTAAGGGATAAAAACAACAATCAGATTGTATGAAACTTCTTCCCCAACTTTTGTCGTCATTATTTCATTTCGAGTGCTGTTATCATCACAGTAACTTACTCAGTGTCCATAATTGTGACTTTCAGGTTTATGTTGTGTTCTTGGAAAGTGTGAAGGGCAACGTATGGGAGAATCTGGACGAAAAAAGAACGATAAGAAAGTATACACTGAGGGATATAATGGTGAGGTATTCATTCCGAACGCATGTACAGATTTTACCATAGTCATGCCATTTTTAGTTAACTGTATACAAAATTAGTAAACGTCGTTACACTTCAACCTTACCATCACATTTCTTGATAGAAAGAGTAATGTTACCCCTTTTTATTTGCTTCAGAATATCAATAACATAAGCGAACAGGATTTTTCGTTTATTTTAATAAACAATTACATTTTTAACAAGAAAACCTTATTTTTATCAAAAATAACATAGTGGAAGATAAGCAAAGCGTATAAGAGAAAGACTACTTTCATAACGCTTAGTAACTTGACGACGTAAGTTCGTTCGATAAAACAAATTTTCGACCCAGTGTGGACGATGAATTATTTATAACCAAAAGATGATTTTCAGTGTAATGGATATGGTAAACAATAAAGCTTTAACACAGACCGAAGTTATAGAACGTGATTTCTGTCTAATTTATCAGAGTCCTTTATGCGATATTACTTGTGAAAATACCTGAAGTAGTTCGTATATTCCAATTTGATGCAGGAAAATTAGGTCGTTTGTGCAGTTACTGAAAATGATCCACCAAAATGGTGTACCTGACAGGCGTTTTGTCAAAAACACAATAACAGTAAACGTCTTGGGATTTTCAATCATGAATTTACAGATTTTTCCCAAAGTCTGGTAAGATTTAAGGTGAATTTAGCATACGTTGTGGTAAACATTCCACAAATGGGTGAGTTTTTGATGGTTTTTCGTCAATTTTGTTCTTCAGACTTCAGTAATAATGATAGTAGGTTGGCCAACCTCTGTTAATCCTGACAGATTGCCTTCTAGTGAAGGTCTAGCTTCTCCTTGAAAATATTCGCTGGGGCTGATACCACTCGATGAGAAAAACGGGACCCCACTTTTGGTTTATTAGATCGCGGTTTGTGAACCTTCTTGCTATGACCTCGGATATTATTAGTGCTGGAGGGAACAAATAGATAAGACATATTAACACCCAAATCATAATTGAAGATACGAAATGACAGTATAAGGTCACCTTGTGTCCTACGATACGACAAGGGGAAAAGGGTCAGACACATTAACGCTTTTGCGTAACTATCTCAAAATTCACCTACCTCTGGCGAATTTCAACCCAAAGTTACGAGTAAGGACACTGAATGCATCTTTATTTAGTGAGAAAAGCTATCGACAACAATTGTTGTTAATGTTGACTAATCATGATTAGTGTCGCAGCATTAACACAAGCGTAATCGAAAGGAGAAGCTGGTAGCATAAAGTTTCAAAAGCTTACTTTTAGCTGTTTGTGTCCAGCCACAAAGTACTTTATGTACTGCGGAGTATGAAGAGTAGTGAGTAAGGAGGACAGGAATAAAGAGAAGAGAACAAAAATGGAGGTGAGCTGATGATTAAGCAAGCACACGCAATGCACTTACATTTTATAAATAAAAGCAATCGACAACAAACAGAAATAACACAAGCCTCAAATTAGGACAGTTTTGTGATCGAAACTAGAAGCAGATTGTCCAACTCGTTATTGTACTTCACTTTTGAGCGCAGCGGTTACATTTTGTAGTCAATGCCAACACTGAACCTGTTGAACAATGTTCAATTATTTACATTCATTATTATTATTGTTGTTATATTAAACAATATACAATGTCTTTGTCACGAGCTTGTGTAAAGTGATGACTTATGAGTGCCCACTTCCTGTCGTTTTAGTGACCATCCACGTCTTGTCTTTGAGTAGGGTTTTTGGATATCAGCTGCTTTCACATTACCATTCTGGCGGTAAATAAATCCCAAAAATAAATAGCTCTGTACTTCTTCGACATTCGATTCTGAGCACATGAGCTTTAATGGACTCACCTAGCTGAAGGCGCCTGGTCATGCATCCGCACCAGATCACGAGGTTGGTTGTATGCTATGTGGAAAATATTTAGTGATAATTCGAGTGGTGAGTGAAGAAGATTGTTACACGAAATAATTGAATAAGTGTGTTAAGTAATTTGTTGTTCACACAGTGAGAGAAGGCCGAATTGAAAGAATAAGAGCAGGAACGAAGATGGCAATAGGCGAAATAGAAAGCAGTCACTGATATGAGGCGATGATAACCGTCGTAAATTATGAGACCTGACATATGCAGTTTTTTCAGTGGACAGATGGTAACTTGTAGGTGAGTGTGTGTTTGCTATATCCCATCTTGAAAGTATCCACTGAAGGTTTGGTGGTCACTGCGTTTGGAAGAGCGTACCAATCGGGAGGAACCCTTGATGAAAGTGTCGGCGTACTTGCGACGCGTTATTGTCGTGTTCTGGAAGTATGCTCGTGTTGGAGTGACTTGAAGTAATTGGTATGTTATCTGCCATTATCAGGTCACCTCCTATTCTCCTATAGCTCGGTAATAATAATCTAAAGTGTTGGGGTGTGTCTGTAAGATTTTTGTATTAGCACTTCCACCTTCTTAGTTCCTCGCCTCTATACCTGGTCTAAGGGTTTTTTCGGAGAGTGGGTGCAACGACATTTTGGACTTCAAGGTGGATCTGTGTGTTTTACAAAGAAATAGAGATAACTTCCGAATGATTACGTCGAATTGTCTTCTTATAAAGTGATGATTTGCGTCTACTTCGCCTAAACCCCTCATGTAGTTCAAGTTGATGTCTAGTTTGTCGGTGGTTAAAAACCCGAGATCACTTTCTGAGAACACAACTAGATAGAAGCGAGTCCTTAAAACCCATGTTTGCAGGCTTCACTATGAGAAGTACGTGCACCACTATGTCGAAGGCTATTATAAATTAAGGGAATATTACAAGGAGCGGTATCTTTTGCTCCTTGCAGGTTGTCGGGCTGTCCCGTACTACAAAAATCTCAGACATACAGGATAAATTTTTCACGAACCTTTGTTGAACTTAACGCAGGACGTTATTTTTGTCGTCGACAGAATTTAGAGTGATGAGAATGGTTTGCAGGTAGTCTGAATCTCTCCTACCTTTTTTGAAGCATGGAAAAGGAATAGCTTGTTTCCATTCTTTGAGATATGAATCTATTGAGTATCTGAACATACCACACATCTCTTTGCTTTTAGCTCCAGCTCGTTACTTTAGGATTTTAGACGGCTGTTTTCGCATCCTGCAGAGAGGGAGTTAGGTGGGTATTCTGCAGGTTTTCAGTCAACACTGTTGTCCAAGAAAGGTCCGCATTTGGAGAACCCCGATTTGGTTACTCAACGAAGTTTACATTGTCTCTAAGTTGGTAAGATTTTGACCAATAAGCCCTTATAGAGAACAGAACCTCTTCGTTTGTAGATTTTCGTTTAGTTATGAACTTTTATTGGGTTAGCTTATATTTTAGCTCTCAGCTTGGACTGGAAAGGTCTCCTGTGGATTCGAACATTTGGTCTCTATCTGTTTATCAGTACAAAGCAAAAACTAAGGTTGGGACCCTCTAAGGCAGTTTTCCACTTGTGCCAGGCACCAGTTTTGAGCCGTAGTAGGCGTTCTGTGTCTCGTTTAACGTAGTGTGTTGTAGTCCTGGATATGCATTTGGCATGAGGTATGTCATGACCTGAACAGTATCTCACTTTATCTTTGGTGGCAATCCACTGTTATATTCCACCACTCTTGTGACTATGGAGTATGTTGAAAATGCTCTCTGAATTCATACAGTTTGCTCTAGTATAACAAATGTAGTAGGCACTCTTGTTGAACATGAAGGTTCCACGGTCACTACTCCCTACCAGTGCTTCGGAATTTGCATCTTCGACCAGAATCTGATCATAAGTTAGCAAATAGTCTAATTTTGAACTTTTAACCTCTATACAGAACATCTAATATATAAAAAATCTTATCTATTTGTGAAGTCATATGCATAAAGTGTCTTCCTTGTTTTTCCAAATGCTTGTAAGGAACGAAATTTAGTTTTGATATAGCTTCAGTAGATCAACTACGCTGACGGAAGTTTGAATTCATCTGCATTTAGGAACACTCTGATATAATTTAGAAATGTTACTCAACAAGTAGCCGTTTAGATATCCGGTTTCCATCGCTCTCAGAAAACCCGATTGGATTGTGGTTAACAAATGCATGTTCAAAATCAAATCCGTGAAGAACCTCGCTACAGACAAAGTTGAACATTTCGCCAGTTTCTTGTGATCAGCTGCGGTTGGTGTGATATCAGCTCCCATTAAATATAACCTTTAGATTGTAATCGTCAGCTAAATGGATATCTAAAAGCACATTTGGAAATTTTAAGACAGTCTTAGATCCATACAGTATCTCATAATGGGCATTAATGCCACGGATTTTTCTATGTGACTTGCTAACACAGAGTAGCACCAGTTAGGATATTATGTGCGATAAAGAGGTTGATCAATTTCTTCGTTTTATAAAAGCTTCTTGACCTATTGGAACGATGATTAAAGAAAAGGATAGCCTCTGTACTAATTTATGAGTTATCATTGCACGTCTTATTGTATAGTTATCGAGTGATTAGACTGCTACATTTGTGTATTCAGTATTTTGCAGAAGTCGTAGCACTTCTATGTGTATCAGCCAATAAAAATGGTCAATGAAGAGGTTTTGATCCACAAAAAGTTATTTTGTAAATCAAGCTTTCCATCAGCCGCTTAAAAACAATATACCGCTTATTGTTATTCATCATAAAGTTTTTACTAAAAGTACTTCCATTTTATCAGTATCGTCGGTGAAGCACAACTTCGTATAAAATATGGGGTATCTAACAGGCGATCACAGTTGCTACTTTTGCTTGGATCTGATACGTTTCAATGTAAATTGCTTGACAATGAGAATTAGATGTTTAAGAAACTACATAAACTTCTTTGTGTGCGGCCTAACTAAACATCTCCATGTACCAACTGAAACTTCCATACTTAAGAAGTTAGGAATGATGAAGAATTGTCCAAGTAAGTTAAGATAAGCGCTATTGCGCAGTCGAAATTAAAAAATGACTGAATTTCACTATCAATCTGGATGTTCATTATTACAATCCAGTTATTCAACTAATAATTTTCCAATCAGTAGTCAATTCTAAATTACATACAGTGGATAAAGCGATGAAGGATATAAGTGAAGTGCCGATTGCAACAAATAAATGAATGAATGATATTCCATTCGTTCTAGATAAAACATGTAAAGACTGCTCAAGAAATAATATTCAAGTTGATTATATTACTGAGTGTTTCCAGTTTTGGAAGAGTGCTTCAGTTCACATCAAAAGTGTACAATTCCAGTTAGTCTAAGCAACACAATTTAAAAGGAGAGCGTATCGGTATAGCAGATACTATAACAATGCATCAACTCAAACAATGTAGATGTATTTTAGGATCAACATGGAGAATCAGCGAAAACGCGTGAAAAACAAACACCTCGAAAAAATATAATTAATATAATCTCAAGCAAAAACAAAGGATTAACGAAACGTACGTCTGAAGGAATAGAGAAAAATAAAATCAAAACAGCATGTGAAGGAATTTTCGTACACAGGATATCGGAAACAGATTTTATACTACCTAATTTCAGTTTCTTGTCTTCAGTGGTTATCATATTAATTGGTTTCGTCGGAGGTTCTTAAGATACTATCTGCAAACCATTGACGATTGCATAGGCCACATGGACTATCAAATAACCTGCAAGCACTGGATGGCCGTTTCAGCTTGTTGTGAGACTCCTTCGCAGTGCACAACTATGATGGCAGAAACAATTAGCTCAGATATTTAAGCAGGCAACCTACACATTATAGTGATTTCAGTAGTTGAAATCATGAGTCAATTTATGCTAGACCACCATAGATATTAATATTTTACTGGTGTTCTTTTTTTGGACAAATGACATAGAAATAAGTCATAAGATCTTATGAATAAAGTTTAATTCTAGTTCATTTCAATTGACTATATAAGAAGTAAACTATATAAGTCATAACATCAAACATTGTCAAGTATGTCATGTCATTCAAAATGATTTCTATGATTTCATCAACTTCACTTTTACTGAACGTAATCAATGTAATGGATTATTGTTATACTATAAATTGTTACATAATATATGAAATTATGTAATTTATAGGGAAGAACTATGAGAAATAGTCACCAGTTATATAGTTTTCCTGTTGTTATCTTCTCATTATTGATTTTCACTGTGACTGGTGCTAAACAGAATCTATCTCAAAAATTAGAAACAGTACATCGTCTACATACATATTATAGAAATTCTCTACTACTTTGTAAAGTTCCGTCACAGCCTCCAGCTTATGATATGGAAGTATTGGTAAGATTTATTAAGATTATTTTAATATGGTATATAATGAAGAATTATTACTTACTTATTTAATTATGCCTGTTAACAATCATGGAGGGGCAGATAACAACCACTAGCATTCTACGTCTAGCTCTGCCCTAATCATTCCTTTCCAATTGTTTCCAGTTGCTATTGATTCTTTTCATGTTTGCTTCCAATTCTTGACGTGATGTGTTCTATGGCCTTCTTGTTTTCTGTTTCCCTTCAGTATTCCAAATTAGCGCTTACCTTGAGATGCAGTGTAAGCGGTCACCA